TTAACTATAGAAAATAATAATTTTAATAGAATTTTTAATTAAAAATATACTATTTTTTTATATATAATTAATAAACAGAATCTTTTAATATTATTAATAAAGTATTCTTATAGTTAATTAAGATAATTAGATTAATATTAGATTAATTATAGTTAATCTAATTTACTGTCTATTTTACTGAGTAAGAATTAATAGTCTTAATACTAAGTATAATTAATCTAGATTAACTATTCAATTTTTGACTTAACTATAGTTAGATATAGAAATTCTATTAACCTAGCTATAATCTAGTGGTTAGGTATAACTGACCCCATTAACCTAACCTAACCTGGCCAAACACCAGTCTAGCTGCAGTCTACTTCTAGGTGTGTCCTATTTAAATGTTCTGGCTGTGGTGTACAGGGCCATAAAATTATGTACTGTCCGAATTGATAGAACTACTTATTTTTATATAGAAGTCTAAATTTATGGTATTTTGATCATTTTAAATTTCAGTATGGTGGGTGGCACGTCACCCGCTTATATACGTCGCTCGCTTACTGATCACGTTATGTTACGGCGGTTAGGTAATGCCACTCTAACCAATCTTTGTAATCCTGGAAATTGAATCTATCTAGCTGTATATGTTTCACTGCCTTGACTAATTGTGTTTGATGATCTTGTCTGCAATATCTTTATAGAGATCGGCTGCATTCATTCCCGGAGCCCAAGTCACTTCGAGGTTACTATTCTCTCCCAACCATTCGATGTCACATGAAAAGACCAGCGGCTCGTTCTTGATAAAGCTTTCAGTGCTGGCCTTGACGATGATTAGGGTGACTCGAGGCATTCCCTTCTTCAACGTTTCAACAGTGTGCTTGGCTGCTTGCGTTCCTGCATCGATGCCATTCCTGATATCCTTGAGGGTTTGCTGGATGGTCTGGACCTGCGCGTTAACATTGGCGTGTTCAATCTGTTTGGCGCGTAGTTCAAGATCGAACGGCTTGAGTTTGATTTCCTCCTCTAGTTGGGCAATAGCTGATTGTGCTTTTCTTTGAGCCGTCGTGATTCTGCCTCGGTTGTTTTCAAGTTCGGTCTTCGCCTCGGTAAGCGCAGCCACCAGTCTCCTGCTTTCTGTTTCGAGTTCTGTGAGCAGTTGGATCTGGCGGTCTCGTTCTGCTTCCTCATCGCGACACATTTCTTGAGCGTAGCCAATAACACCTTTCCTGTTAAGTGCGTCGACGGCTCTGCTAAAGTTGGTGATCTTGTTTGAGGCTTGGGTGATGGCATTTTCGACTTCTTTGTATTCTGAGGTGTTCATGAGATCCTTTGCAGCATTCATCGTAGTGGCGTAGAAGTCTCGTTGGCCCTTGGCTCGCTCGAGTTCGGCACTGGCGCCTAAGAATATGATCCACTAAATTGCATTAGTAGTCAATCTAAAGGAGTATGAAGAACGCTAAGAGTAAATACTCACAGTTCCATACTTGTTATACCATGCGGCGTCGTCGTGCCTCTCCCAGCACTTGTTCTTCCACCAATAGGCATCGCCCACCTTCTCTGGAATTGGTCGTTAGTATTTACGAAACCCTGGTTTTAGGAGACAAAACTCACTATCGAAAACTTTCCACGTGATTTCTGCCGCAGCACCGCTCCTGATCACTTCGCCCCATCTGGAATTCTTCTCGTTCTCTAGCCTTTCTTTCTCCATCTCCCATCTGCGTTGGTTGTCCTGTTGCTCCTTCAACTTGCGGTCGTATTCCGAGCTCATCTCGCGAATCTTATTCTGCAGTTTGCGTTCTGCAGCTTCCTTTTCAACCATTCTGCGGGCTATGTCGCTATCGTTCCTGTTCTTCTCGTCTTCGGCCTTCTTGACATCTTCCCCAAGTTTCTCAAGCTCTTTTCTCAACTTGGTCAACTCACTATTGTCACTTTTGATCTGTGCCTCACGTTTGCGGATCTCTGTACCAGACTCGATCTTGAGCTGATCCACTCTCTCCTGCAATCTGTGCAGTTCTGCATTGTTTTCGCTGATCTGCCCTTCAAGGTCATTGATGGCATCGTCAATCGTCTGCGTGGCAGCCTTTCCAATCGCATCGATTCCATTCTTGATACCGTCAAAGATTGCGCCGGCAACGTCAGGTGTGAGTTCTGCTTCGAACTTGGCTACAAGGCCGTCGAGCTTGTTGCCTTGTGGGACCCTGACCTTGGCCTTGAGCTTGAAGGATAGTTGCTCGATAAATTTGATATCGATATTGGCATCTAGCCGTCTTTCTTGCATATCGGCGTCGATGAAGATACTCGCGTGGAAGTCTTGATACCGAATCATACCGTCAACCAGGATACTTTGTTTTGTCTTTGTCATTTCCACATCCAGTGTCGCCCGTTTTCCACCCACCGAAGCAGATGTGACTTCTAGGCCTCCAATGTTGAACTGGTCGATACCAGCCTTAATAATAACACCATCGTCGGTGAAGCGTCCGTCAAAATCGCCGGTCTTTCCAAAGAATTCCACCTTACCTTTAATAATAATACCGCGTTCGTACTCGACATCAAAGATCTTTCCACCTCTGGACATGTAGAGCTTGACAGCGCGAAACACGAGAATATCGTCGCCGCCTTGGATATTCTTCAAGGCCTGGACGTCAGCCAACTCGCCGGCCAGACGGACAAGTTTGACCACATTGATTTCGGAAATATCGACGTTGATAACCAGATCCTTGCCTGTACCTAAGCTCAGGTCCATCTCCGCATGGAAATCGTTACCAAGCTCGAGTCTTCCTGTGGCCATAAGACGGCTAATAGCTGTTAACAAATTATCCAATTCATCCACATGATGGGAAGGCTTACTCCGGCCCTTGAGCCCAGACAGTCGCATATTTAAATCCGGCACCAATGCCTAGTTTGGATACGACTGCCTTTTTGTTCAATTTGAACGGGTTGATCCATCTATCCTCCGCGGCCATATAACTGTCTATTGTCAGTAACATCCATAAATAGAGATGGATTTGTGCATACAGCCCTCCTTCGGCACGTTCAATGTCCCCATTGATGTAACCTCTAACCCTGATCGGAGGTTGATCATCAAACAGCAGAGTCAAGGTTGCGTTCAACTGCAAGATAGGGCCGGCATCACCAGCAATGATAGCGGCACCAAATCCGCCTAGTTTTGCGTAGTCACGGAGAGGAATCTGCGTTGCCCGTCAGCTTTGATATCGATATATGTCGTGTTTTTATTCTTACCTCCAATGTCTTGGGCATGTCGATACTGATTTGCAACTTGCCCTTGGATGGGAAAGCCACAGCCAGCAAGAGACCGTCCACTTTCTTCTTGTTGTTGAGCTGATCAAGCTTTTCGAACTTTCTGATAGATGCACACAATTGAACGCCCTTGACAACAGGGTAGCCGTACGAATCGATCTTGGCCAGGATATCCCAGCTGTCTGCTGTGCTCGTGGATGATATTTCCTGTTTCTCTCGCTCCTCTGACGATGCAATCAGGGTCACATTGTCCAGCTCCAAGTCCAGGAATCCGCCCTTGACGTCTGCCCAGAGCTCGTTCAATCTGATGCTCTCAACTGTACCCACAAGGATCCAGTCGCGGTTCTGCTTGTCTTTCTTCTGCTCAATGTGCAGACCAACAGTCACGGTGAAGTTCTCGATTTGGACGGTACCCAGAATCGAGAACTGACTCGCGCGTTTGTTCACTTCGGGCTTGTCCTCGGCCGTTTCCTTCTCGTCCTCTGGTTTTGTTATCGCTTTGTCGCCGTTAGCATCCTCACCTTTGTCCCTATCATCAGGCTTGGTTTCCCTCTGATCTGATTTCTTAGGCTCCTCAGCTGGCTTCTCGAACTCGTTCTCCGGCTTTTCAGACTCATCTGGCTTGTCAGTGGTGGCCTTGGAGTCCTTTTGTCCCTTTCCACCTTTGACAGCCTTCTCCTTCTTCTGGCCCTGCTTGAACGCAATATAAATATGTAGTCCAGCCTTTTTGATCGTGAGGTGAGTGTCAGGAATATTAAACTCCTGAATATCACCATTAATTGTCACACCATCCTGATCGATCTTGATCAAGGCACTGGCACTGCTATGCTCGTTGAACGTAACTTCACCATCCAGTTGCAAGGACCTGTCTGTACTACCTCCAACCTTGGTGCTCGACAGATTGAGATGGAGCTTCTTGAAAGTGATTTCGTTGCCTTTAGCTTCTGCCATTGCATCTGCCTCTGTGTCTGCTACTACTGGTAGCTCCCGTCCAGCAATCTGGGCGTGAATCTTCTTGATGTCACTCAGTGTGAGATCGCCGACTTGGGCATCTAGGAAGTTTTCATCTTTGTACCGTTTAGTCAATGCCTCTATATTCAGCAGAAATGTTAACTCACCCCTAGAGATCTTTCCCGTAACGGTAAAGGTTCCGTTTCCTAGCGACAGATTGGCTTCGAGGTCCAGCTTCGCCGTCTCTGCAAATTTGCCTTGTTCAAAGGAGGTTTTGAGCTCGGCTTTTGTCAACTGCGAGGACGGTTAGCTGGATTGTGAATCTATAACTAGGATTGTGCACTAACAGAAACATTCTTAATGCCGTAGATGTCCTCCCATTCGTCACACCAGATAACCATGTTCCAGATTCTTCTGTGTTCTCCATCCGAGTATTGCTTCGTGGGCTTCTTCTGTTCTGGAGCCTTGGTAGCTGGATTCTTGGAGCCGCCTTTGACGAGCTCCTTCCCGTTTTGTTCTTCAGTCTTTGTGGCGCTTGTCGTGATTGATTCGGCCTTCTGCTTAGTGTCATCTTCAGGCTTGTCTTCCGGGGCCTGATCATCGGCAAGCACATCTCCGTCATCACCTCCACTCCCATCAGTTTCAAAGTCCCTGGCAATCCGGTAATTCAATTCCACGGGAGCATTTGCATGAGGGACGTTGGTGAGTATGAGTGTTCCGAAAAAGCCAAAGCCAAAGTTCCAGGACTTTTTCTCCTTGGACTTTGGCTTCTCGTCTTCTTTCTTGTCCTCGCCTGTTTTGCCTTCTCGATCTTCTCCTGTAGAGGGTTTGTCGGGTTCGTCAGTTTTAGGGTTGATCTTCTCCTTACCATCGGCTTCGGACTGGCTGATGTCAGTTGCTTTATCCTTGAAGGTTTTGAGGATTAGGCCTAATATACCTCGTTTTTCTCTGACATTGCAAGATCTGGCTCAGTTCTATCCTTATCATCACTTTGAGGATTCGTCTTTCTCTTGCCGTCTGGATCAGGCTTTGTCTCATACTCTTCGGTACTGGCCTTGGGTTTGTCTTTGCTTGCATCATCAGAGGATGGGTCTTTGGCTTCGTGTGTCCCATTTTTCCCTTCCTTCTCAGGCGTAGGTTTGATGCTTCTGCCTGCCTTTGTACCGGTAATCTCGATACCTATTGTCTTGAACTGAAGGACATCCCAGATCTTCAGCCCTATAGTTGGAAAGTATCCTTGGAGAACGAGTTTCTCAATTACCGGCCGCTTGGTCCAGTCTCTCTTGTCTCCAAGATGGGCACTCAGATGAATGGACTCCGGAATCGGCTGGTCACCGAAAATAGTCTTCAATGTATCACTCGCCCACTGCAGACTATCCTTGAGCATCACGTCGACTTCGAGGCGAAGACCGGGAAGGAAGAAGGTACCTTGCTTCTCCTCGCAGTAGGTGAATTCCAGATTTGTGATGGGTATTTTCTTGAGGTCTTCGTCATCGATGAACGGGAAGAGGGTGCCCAACGGCTGTCCTTTTAGTGCCAGACTGTCGGGGTTCAGTTTGATCTTTTCACGGACTGGCTCTTTGTTTTCTTCGGTTTTATTGTCACCTGAAGTTTCGCCTGCAGTATGGTCTGCAGTATCGCATTCAGTATTATCGGCACTTTGTTTGCCATTGTCCATTCCAGGACCTATAAACAATTTAGCTCTGCCATTTCTTCCTGTGTAGGCACGCCTACCCTTGAATTTGTAAATCTTGGCATGCAGGCCCTTGATACCAAAAAAGTTCTTAATATCCCCCGAAAGCACATATTTGTCCATGTTTGTTTTGAATATATGCTGCATTGCATCTGGTCTTGTTCTCTTAATCGAATTCCAGACAGGCATCGCGCCACCAGGCAAGTCACCATTGACTGCCTGATCTAATAGGACATGATTTCCTTCCTCAGGCAAAAGCAAAACAGGAACTTGGTTTTGCTTTCTCCGCCTACGACCAGGCACTGTGGCCAACAGTTGAGCATTGACATTATTACTGCCCTTGATGCTAACGACAGGAAGATCTGCAAATCTCTTCCCCCGTTTTCCAGGCACCACCAAGGAGAGATTGCTTACCACTGCCCCTCCACTGATGGTTGAAGTCAAGGACTCCGACTTGCCGCGACTGGATAGAGCAGCAAAAGTTGGGGATGGACTGGCAGACTCTGTCAGAGTGGTCGGGGGGTCGTCACTTTCTGAATCCCCGCTGAAGTCGGCCTCGGGTGTGCTTATAGGTGGTATTTGGTGGAGCTCATGGCGAAAGTTGAGGGTGGACTCATCGACAATCAAATCGAGAGAGGTAATAGGTAACGTGTAGGCCTTTTTTACTTCCTCGTCGATGTGATCAGCTGTGATGAAGTTTTGGCGGTCTAGCATGGTGAAAAATAAACGAAATAGATATATATAAAATTATAAGAATAAAAGGCTCGTTCAGGCCCCAAATAAATCTGGGTAGCAGATGGCGTGTGGGACTTTTAGGTCTGGGGAATGCCACCAGTATTTATCAATCTATGGCCATCTCATCTCTACCCGAGCTGAAAGATCGAGACGAAGATCTGCACCATAAGTAGATTGGTATGATGGGATGCTCCACTTTCTACCCCTCAGAGATCCACTACCAACTGGCACTTCGATTAGGCAAAGTCAAAATTTTGGATCAACCGGACAGCGAAGGGTGGGAGAAGAGAGGAGGATTTGGCAGTCCTTGGGAATGGCGGCCTGGTGAGAATTACTTCGGCGGTTGATAGCTAGCTATAGTTCAATCAGGCCAGGTGTGTCGGCCACGCTTGGATTGGGAGGGGAATTTCACGCAGGATGGAAAAAATATCTCCAGTGGGAAGGCATGCGGAAAATAATTCCTAACCCTAGAGTTTGGGCTGCCTCCTAGTGGAGGGGCAGCTGCAAAGGTGCTCCCGCCAGTCAGAACCTTGAATCGCTCCAGCTGAACTGTGTATTCGATCGATATAGGGATAACTACTAATCAACAATTCCAATTTACTCCTCGATGGTGTATCCCCTGATATCCAGGGTCCCCAAGGTATTAGATCCATAACGAGTCAACGACAGTTGCCTTTTACAGTCGGATATGCAGCTGAAACCTAGTCTGGATAGAGGTCAATCACTAACTCAGGGCTGAGTGAGTGGTGACACTCACGACCTGGATACACACTTTTTTATTGTCAGACTTAAACATTTCGCTTATTGATATCACGCGATAAACAAATACCTCAGTGTGTGTCCCAGAAATTAGATCCGCGCGGACATTCAGCTACCTACTGGGCCGCCACGTAGGCGCGGGCCGATCCCCCACCAGGAAACAGATTCGGGTGAGGCGGCCACCGACTTAGATCGAATCATATTGTGATGCATGTGCTTGCGCACGCGATTTGCTGCCTGAGCGCAGACGAGCACCTCCATCTCAACCTCTGCACTCAGCTAGCCATGGCGCCCTGATGTATATGGATCCGTCACCTGTGGTCAGACACCGATGTGTGCATAGCGTTAGACTATGCTATTATGCCAAGCCATTGCGGCCAACGCGCATTAATTCATTCTCCTGCATTTAAAATATGTTTCTGCCGGCAGAATAGTCTAGTATGATGAATCTACTTAAATTGCTTACTTGGTCTGCTTAACCTGCTTAACCTGCTTAACCTGCTTAATCTGCTTAATCTACTTAGTCTAGTACTTCGTCTGCGTTGTCTGCGTTGTCTGTCTTGCCCATGCTGTCTGCATTGTCTACATTGTCTGTGTTGTCTATATAGTTACTAAATAGTCTGTAATTTAGAGTTGATATCGGGTCGGGTTCGGTTCCAAAATCTAGGGCCCGCCCCTAACCCGGCTCCGGGGCAGTTTTTGATAGGTAAACCCGCACCCGCATGCAACTCTAATCTCACCAAGCAAAAATTTCGGAAATCGCATTTACTTTCGCAGTCTAAAGGTAGCCAGTACTGAACAAGAATATCATAGTCTGAACCATCCCCTACCCATAGCGGGAATAGTAATCATCATGATCTATGGCACTCCATTCACAAGTGCTACATAGGCTGTTAAAGTACATACCGCCAGAACAGCAAATCTACAAGGAGTTTGCTACATTGTATTCAGTGCTTGGTAAACCTCTTCTGTTGAGCTCGTCCTTGAGAGTTGGAACATATTTGGTGTCTGTGTGACACAGCGTCAGTAAATTTAATGAGGAAAGCGTTATAAATGAGCTTAGATTAACATACCAACTTTACCCAGCAGGGTGCGGCCGCAATGAAGTATGTCATGTTTACAATCATAAGAGAGTACGCCTAATGCAAGAGATGTAGAGAGTAAGATCAGGATTAAGAGTTGTATGTTAGGCGCTTTTTTTTGTTGGAGAATTTGGCAATAAACGTGCCATAAACTGAGCCTTTAAATACAATGCGAAGTTGAGCGACGGTTTTAGAGAGACATTTGTGTTTCTTATATCTGCTGCATACTGGCTTAATCGTTGAATAATATAAGTATAGAATAGGGTTTTAAGATACATTATGACTGTATATCTTAGCTACTAGACTTACTTCTCTACTAAGTTTCCTTATGATGTTATACTGGTAGAAATGTTTCCAAAAATGAATTGAATAAGTCGAGTCGACACTCAGGGTAGGACCTAGGTGTGGCGGCTAAGTAGTATGATGATATTGGTGCTATCTATTGGGGAGAAAATTGTTTATTTCCGCTTGTGACTATAATGGTTCCAATCACATTCTCCACGAAGAAAAGGAATAGACCTCGCCATGGCCAGTCCATGGATGGCCCATCATGCAGTTGGCTGAGAATTAGGACGGAAGCAGAGTTTTCCTTATATACAGTTGCACTGTTTATTAAACTCGTGGTCTTTCCGAATGCGGTGTTTCCACTATGTGACATCGGGATTATTTTCCATTCCATATACATGGAATGAATTCCATTACTTCCCAAGCCTAATCGCAAATAAAAAGCAACTTATCCCACACTCTCCAGGCATCCCCTGCCTTCGACAGCAAACATGTATTAGGCTTCAATTCCTGTACTACAGATGCACCATCCCCGCACCCATAACCGGCAAAGCACAAATACACTTTACAGCCAGGATTCAGCCATCTCAAGACAGCCCCACCCGATTGAGAGATAGTGGATACGCGGTTATTAGCACTCTGATCAAGCTGAAGGACTAGACCATTGGAGTCGCACTGATAACCCTTAAAGACGACAATTTCTCCAACCTTCAGTGCGCTAACGGAGAGGGAGTTGCAGGCAAGGCCTGCAAGGGTTGCGATCTTGATGAGCGACGGTAGCTTCATGTTGGGCTGTATCTTGTTTAGATTCCTGATCAGTTCCCATAGATTATCTGTCGTATGGGTTTGAGAACTTACCAGGATGTGTTTTCAAGGTTTTGAAGGCAAAGAGGATGGACCAGTGTTGACCCTAATGGAGAATTGAATTGGGAATCTGGCGAGATATATAGTACGGGGAAAGATCTGGATGAGAACCAAGTCCACCAGGGACAACTTGATCATCCACCTATCACAATTGAACCCTCCGATAAAATATTCAGGCAGTCTGACAAGTAGGGAAGTCAAGGAAGGCTCAGCTGAGGTTGTTCACTCTCCAAAAGGAATAACCAATGAAAGGCTGGGAGCAGTAGCAGACTATACTGAAAGAGCTTTAGCGTGGTCGACTGGTTGGTCAAGGCATCAATACCAAGCCATTTAGTGTCATGCAGTACCCTTACGCAAGCATGAGGGAATCATTATGAGATGGAAGGGTCAAAGCTGAATGCTACCTCCTTACAAAGTAGTTACAAAGTAGTAGCTCCATTGCATCCTTAGTCAAAGTCTAAAACACTCAGGCCAGACGGATGTTGTCATTCTTGAATTGAGAATCCCAGTATACACCAACGATGAGACAGAGAAGATGGCCGATTGAAGCCGTGAATGATTCAAGAAAAAAAACCATGCAATAAGATGAACTACATACTTATTCAACATTGAATACCCCTATCATATCCAGTCTTTTGCACCTAGTCCGCTCTGTGCTACCAACAATCAAAGTCAAGCATAAGTCTCCTCCCTCACTACTGTCGTTCCTTCCGGAGTAAATTCCAGCCAGACCTGCCTGTCCACAGTCTGAGTACTCCGATCTGCAAGGGTGAAATTTGAGGTGTGGCTTATTCTCGATCATAACTAGAGTTGATCGGGTCCCCCGAACAACCCGCCACAAACCCGGACAACCGGTTCCAACCCGAAAAGTCATGTGATCTAAAATTCTAGATTTTTCCAGAATCTTTTTATATTTCTATATAGATCTAGAGTATATATCTATTATATATATTGTCAAAATTAGAGTTGATATCGTGTCGGGGGCGAGTCCTAGATTTTGGACCCGTGTAAGGGCGCCTTTGGTGTACGTAATCAGCCTGGCGCTACGCCGTCGGTGCCTTGTAGGCCAACGGGCTTCAGGATGAAAGATATCTTGTGTTCCGATTACTAGGGGAATTGTATGCAAAATATAACAGAAAAAATTTGCTTGGGGATCAGAATCCTCTGCGCGATCTGGGTCTATATAGTGCGATTTAGGGCACCGGCAGATCCCAGGCGCCTCGCTTGCGGCGGGTTTGTTGCTGCCTGAGGCAATCGTCGTTACAACCGACCCCGACCCGATATCAACTCTAATTAAAGTACAGTACTGAAGAGTTGTGAGACTAATCAGCTTTAAGGGTAGTTACTTGGACGAAACACTACTATAATAGGAAGATGAACCGAATTATATAACCATAAAAGCGCACTAGTAAAACCTATTCAAAAATATATATACAGTACCCTATATAAAAAAGTACTTCCTTAAGCACTGTAAAAAGTGCTCAAAATAGAGAATTTTCTTGATAATTTCAACATTATCTTCTCAGACTAATCAGGGAGTGAAAATCAAAAGAAGTACTGGGGCCTTCTGTTCTAGAATGAGAAAAAGGCTCTAAGCCGAAGAAGGCGTCTTTCTCCAGAGCAGGTACTGACCTTCACTTGGTTCGAGAGCTTGAACATACCGATGGAAAATTGTCTTTAGTGAGGAGTACCAGAGTTTAAGATCTGGCTTCAGAGAGCAACAGACAGTTCGGTTATCTGATGAAGAGTATCGTCGCTATGGAGGTCCAGAGACGGTTTTTATTCTTCAAAGCTGGGACCAAGGAGCAGTATATGTAAAGTGCAAATGGTATAGAGGTGAATAATCAACTGGAATAATAGTCATGCGTCGTACTTGTCGAGGCATATATCCAAGTACAGCTCTTGAAGGAAGCAGCAGACGGGCTTGTGCTTAACTGGCCAAAGGTCCTGAACCACACCCAACAAGACGAAGCAAGCCCTTGGTACCAAGCTTTTTCCCCTTAATAGTTCCTGAATCAGAAAGCTCTGGAGGAAGTAGTTCCGACGGATAGTGTTTTGAAAAGTATTTTGGTCCTACGGCGCACCATCTAAGCACACTTTCAAAGAAAGTAGCCTCTCTTCTCACACCGCTTGTGGATCTCACAAGCGATCAGGGTGATGCTGTATCTAGGATATCACTCTCTTAATTATTTGCTCATGAATTTCAATATTCGGAATAGAAATGAATATAAGTACGATATAATACATAAGTTGCGTCAACTGTCATTAGTTCTGCATTACCCAGTTCTGTTAATAGGGTCCAATGAGAAGAAGTCTGGTTTGGTTCTGCACGAACTTGGAAATCAATATCTCTACAATACCTAGCTATAAGTTACATCAGAGGGATTGCACTAAAGTCGGCTTGTATACAGGGTCTAAAGGTGATTCATTGCATATCAAAAGACTATATGCTTCGGATAGACTGGCGTTTGGCCAGGTTAGGTTATGGCTAGGTTATATATATATATTGTACTGTCTGTGGTTAACTGGTAGTTAATCTAGTTCTGTCTAAGGCACCGAACTAAACCTATTTAGGCAGACAGTGAATTAGGATTATTTAAAATACTGCTAGTAGAAAATAGCCCTAATCTACCGCCTACCTGAACAGGCTTAGCTTGGCGCCTTGTGGCCACATCAGGTAGAAGTTTTAACCTTAACCTAGGTCGGTTAAATATTTTTATACCTTAATCTAACCGGGGTCGGTTAGGTTAGGTTATGGCTAGGTTACAACGGTTAGGTTATGCCAGTCTAGCTTCGGAAGAAAATGGCTATACTAAGTATCCTACAGGAGATAATAGTAAATTGGAACTTAAATTCAGAGTATTCTATTAACATTAATCTCTACTATGATAGTATATCTCTAAAAGTCTGGATAAATATCCGCTCTATATTAATATATCCTAGATACTTTTTATTTATATACCATCTAGATCTGGTCTTCTTAAGTCGCTACTGTAGAGATTTGTCTACAATACTCAGTTAGTCTATCAAGCAGCTGTCCCCAGTCTCTAATAAGGCTAGGTTTCTTCACGGCCACCCATCCCGGCCCAGGCACACGGTGGGTTGGGCTTTGGGTCCGAGTCTAGGGATCATAATAGGCCTGTAAGCCCCCGATTAGGCCCTAAACATTGCAAATATCAGGCATACCACTATTTTATATGGAAAAATATAATTTATTCTACTTAGTAAGCAGCTTTGTGAATACCAAGACCAATATGTAATTATGTATACAAAAATAGGCTTTTTGGGGGGGGGGGGGGGGCATTGTGGGCCCTGAAGAAGACGACTGAGGATTAGGACCAAAGACCGGTATAGGCCGGTCCTTGGTCTTTGCAGTAGTATCCGAGGTAGCCATAACAGGGATCACATCTTTTTATTATCTAAAGATCTAAACCATGCAAACAGACATAGCGTAACCAGTCGGCGAGCCGTAACTACAAGCAAGCCGCCACCCCAACCGCTATGCAAAAAATTGAAATCGTCAAAATACCACCGTTGCAGAGTCCAACGATACGGAAAAACATTTTTCCTTATTTTCACTGATCCACTGAGTTACCCCGGGATTCATCAGGCTTTTCAGGCTCAGGTAGATATCGTGCAGCAACCGACAACGTGGCAGCAAGCAAGAGCATCAGTACCCAGATGGCATACCCCCCGGCAAGTTGTGTTCTCGCCCCCAAAGCAAAGAGGGTGGTGAAAAGGGCTGGGCAAATTGCCCTCAGGCCGCTAACCCCGGTCAAGGCCAAGGCATTCAGCGTACCTAAGACTTTTGGCGATGGGGAGACGTCGTTCAGAATGAGCTGGATGGCTGTGAAGCTCATGCTGACCCCACAGCCGACGGCCAGCGCTATTGGTAGGAAAACCCAGAAAACCTTGACAGATGCCTCGGTGTCCAGTCGCAGGAGTATATTACCGGCTGGACAGGCAAGGAAGAAGAAAGGATAGGCATAGGCACATAGGCGGATCACTCCATTCGACCCGATCCTCTTCTGCAATGGAGGGAAAGCCAGGAGGAGCCACGCAGATTGGGCGGCGCCGTTCAGGCCCATCAGCACCGAAATTTGTAGTGGAGTGAAGCCATATCCACCGAGGTAGGTAGGAGTGAACCAAAAGACCGGGATGATAGCTGTGTAGGCAAAGGCGAGTACCATAATATGTCCATATGTGTAGAGGACTATCCCCACACTGGGGGCTTTCAAAAGCTGCCAAGCTGACAACCCTTCATCGGGGATGGAGTCCGACGTAGCAGGCTCTTTTTTCAACGTCTCTTGGACGAAAAAAAGAGTAGAAAAGGCAGCGGTAGCCCCGACCAGCGCCACCACCAGGCTCGATAGCGCGTATGGGTAGTCAGCGAAGAAACCAGTACCCTTAAACACACCTGGATACTGGCGTGTTGGGTTGGCAAGACAACCACCCAACAGAGGACCCAGGAAGAGACCCAGGTTTCCACTGAAAGCGAACCAACTGAATGATCGAGCTTGTGTCTTGCTTGTGCTGTGCTCGGCGATCATAGTGCGGATGGTGACGATAGTCCCCGCAAAGACACCGGCAAGGCACCTGAATAAAACCATTTGCGCGATAGTCTTTGCCAGTCCGAAGAGGCCCGTCGCCACGGTCACGCCGAATAGGGAGAAGACCAGGACGGGCTTCCGCCCAACGCGATCGGCCGCTCGGCCCCAGAAAATCATCACTATGGCCTGAGTCAGGGAGAACAGCGACTCTATGAGCCCTGTGTAGAAACCAACATCTGAGACCTCGGCACTCCCGTTGTCCCGGATCATCTGACTGACATAAGGGAAGATGGAGAAGAAGGCCAAGGGCTCTACGGCCCGGGCATAACAGAGTAACAGGATCTGAGCCTTTGGTAGAGGCTTTTCCTCCTGACGACCTTTGTTGGGCTCCAGAAGAGCCGTAGTCTCATGCACATCATCCGATGTTGTGGTAACCATAGTCGGTAAACTCGTTAATGAGGTGAAAGAATCTCAAGGCCGAGCTTGCGGGAAGGTCTGATGAGACACCGGACTTATGTAAGTCCGGCCCGTCCGTCTATAAACAAAACCGAAGTATACCCGCCATATCACTAGGGTCAACAGATGTTTCTATGAGTAACCCAATTTAGAAGAATGGGAATGATACGCTGATTGGGTCATTCCAGGGTAGAAGCAAAGCAGGTG